CACCTACCCACTTTAGCAATTCCGCCCCCATTGGTGCATAGGAGTGCTCCTGGTTCGAATCCGGCCAGGTTGTAGCTATTTCAGCTAAAGTTTTGTCCAGCGCCGATTTAATTCGTTTTGTTATGTAGACACCAAAAAGTGGGTATAAATACAGCTTGTAGAAGGAGGGAGTAAGACCTGGTGGTGAATGGCTCATACCCACTTTATTTACAATAGGTATGCATACGGAATACGGTGGATGTCCCCGGTTCGAATCCGGGCCAGGTCATGCTCGTGATCTTGGCGACTTTTTTCGTTCTCTCACCGGGATTTTGAAACGGTGGGATACTTATATCCAAGGATTGAATATGTGGTATAAGGCATGGTGGTGAATGGATCACACCCACATTACTTTCGCCCCATGCGTCATTGTATCTGTGGGAGTCCCGGTTCGACTCCGGGCCAGGTCGTGGAGTTGTTTGGTGCAGTCACTTTTTTCCCATTTGTTCTCATTCCGAAAGAGATCTAGAGCTCAGTATGTTGACTCACCGATAAGGTGCCGGTCTACAAGAAACCACCGAGATGGATGGAATGTTTTTTTTATGAATATTAATGTTATCAACGACTTGATTTCGCCCTGGGCCTGGTGTTGTTCCATTTCGGTTGGACTCGGACGCGGGATTTCGCCGTCAAAGACAGAACAAGCGCCAGGCCCACTATCAGAGATAGCGCGACTGAATGCATGCATTCCGTCATGCCCGATCTGCAGATCTCCGTCCGTCCGGACACCGCCTCTTCATCCAATTAACAGTAAGTGAGTGTGGGAGCATTCGCGCGCGTACCTAAACGCCGTTTAAATCCAACATAGCCTTGGGATTTGATTGGGATTCCGATGGGATTCCGCGCCCAATCGGGTGTTTGGTATGTTTTCTGTTCTTTCCTTCTTCCTGATGGCGAAATTGAGAGAATCTCTCCACTCGCAAACGCCGATGCAGACTACTTGGGAGCGACAAACGCCGACTTTTCTTTTCTGACTGGAGACCCTTGTTTTCCGGGGACCGGGATGTACGAGAACAAGAAAGGGAGTACAAGCCGAAGATTAGACAAGGCAGACGCGACAGGGTGGCAGGCAGATTGGGTGCCCCTTGATAGGGACGCGATGGAACGCATGCGGCCGAGATGACACGAAGAAGGCAGAAGCATCGGTTGACTGCTGGGGCAATGGCCGGTGGCGTACAAATCGCGAGCCCTTTTCTATATTACCGCCTTGCTTTCTGGTCTGCCTAGTTTGAGTGCCCTAGTCTCCCCTTGTGTGAAGGAGAAGAAGAAGACTCTCCCCATGGCCCGCCCCGCCCCCCTCGACTTCACCCCGCTCCCGCCCAACCCGCCCTTCGCGGCGCACCCCGCCTCCGGCAGCAGCGACGCCTCCCCCGCCGCGTCCGAGTCGTCCTCCCCCGCCGCGTCCCCGCCCGTCAGCCCCCGCAGCCTCTCCTTCCTCACCCCGCCCGCCCCGCGCGACTCCCTCTCCCGCTCCCCCTCCGCCCGCCGCCCTCGACGCCGCCGCAAACCCCTTCGCCGGCGGCGGCACCCCCACCCAGGCAAACCCCTTCTCGCCCCCCGCCTCCGTGCGCAGCTTCAGCGCGTCGTTCGACACCCCCGTCCCGGGCATGCACTCGCCCATGCACACCCCCAACGGCCACACCCACGCGCACTCCGGCTCGGGCTCGTACTTCGCAAACCCCCGCCAGCACGCGCGCCTCGTCGGTCGTCGAGCTCCCCCGCACCCCGGCAGCCGCCCCGGCACCGGCACCTCCTCGCTGCGCCCGAACAGCCGCCCCACGACCGCCGGCGACGGCAAGCCCGGCGGCAAGCGCGAGGCGTTCGCGTCCCCGCCCGCACGCCCGCTGACGATCTACGCCGCGCCGAGCACTGCGCGCCTGCGACGGGAGCGGCCGAAGAGCACGGCGCTGTTGGTCCCCAGCTCGACGGTCGCAGATGGTGGGTGCTGTTCTTTCTCCCAAAAAAAATTGAATACTGATGTGACCCGCAGACGACACCCCCAAGCCCAAGCCCGGCGCGCGCCCCACGCTGAAGACGTCCCTCCTCAAGCCCTGGGTCGGCGTGCGCGACCCCCACTCGCGCGCCGCGTACTGGATCACGTATGGCATGATTCTCTTCGGTGCGCTGCGTCCCTCCTCCTACCCCCCCACCGTACCGCTGACGCGCACGCCCCAGGCATCGCCGCCGGCGCCGTGCGCACCTACTTCGGGTACACCTCCGTCCTCCTCCTGACGGACAAGCTCTGCCCCGTGATGGACGAGGACTTTTCCTCCGTCGACACCGCGGGGCTGTTCGGCACGGGCGTCGCGGGCGAGGGCGGCACCTGGCTGCGCGAGGTCGACGCGAGCGGGTTCGGGTAAGTCGCGTGGTTTTCGCTGTGTCCGCGTGCTCACACCCCCCAGGAACGGCGAGTTCGAGATGACGACCGCGTCGGACGCGAACAGCTTCGTGCGCGACGGGCAGCTGTACCTCGTCCCCACGCTCACGAGCGACGTCCTCCCCGAGGGGAGCATTCTCGGTGCGTCTCTCCCCCCCTCCCCTCCTCCCTCTAACCGTTTCCGCACTCTCACTCTAGACGGCGCGGTGTAACAACCTCACGGGCTGCACGTACAACCTCACGCATTCGTCGGGGTACACGACGAGCGGGCACGGCGCGGCGGGGATCAACACGACGGAGGGCACGAGCGGCGGCGGCGGCATCGCGCCCGACGCGCCGCTCGACCTCCCCGCGTACCTCGCCGCGTGCTCCGCCGTCTCGAACGCCACTGAGGGCAAGATCCTCCCGCCCGTGATGAGCGCGCGCATCAGCACGCGGCGGAGTGCGAGCATGAAGTGAGTGTTGTCTCTCTTCGTCAATCATGCGCCGCGTCTCCTCCCATCCTTCCCCTCCCTCCCTAGCCTAGCATACAAAACCGAATTCTGACGCACTCCCCCCCCCCCCCCCAGATTCGGCCGCGTCGAGGTGCGCGCGAAGCTCCCCACGGGCGACTGGCTGTGGCCCGCGATCTGGATGCTGCCCGTCGACAGCGTGTACGGCGGGTGGCCGCTCAGCGGCGAGATCGACATCATGGAGGCGCGCGGGAACGGGCCCAGCTATAATAAACAGTGCGTGCCCTCTCCTCTCTCCCCCCCTCCCCTTCCATTTACGCTTTCGGAATAATGCTGACGGCGCGACACGGCACAGGGGCATCAACTACGTGCGCTCGTCGCTCAACTGGGGCCCCGCGACGTTCCTGAACGCGGTGGCGAAGACGTACGGGTGGTGGGTAAGGCGCCGGGGCCGGTACGACGACGGGTTCCACACGTATGCGCTCGAGTGGAGCGAGGACTTTATGTGCGTGTTTATTCCCAGCCCTTTCCCCTCTCTTCGCCTCGCTGCGGACGCACACGCTGACGCGCCCACAGCCGGATGTACGTCGACTCGCGGCTGCAGTACATGTTCGAGACGAAGATCAAGCAGTCGTTCTGGGAGCGCGGGGACTTCCCCACGGTCGTGCAGAACGGGAGCCAGAGCGTCGTGCTGGACAATCCGTGGGTGAACGGGACCAAGGCCGCGCCGTTTGACCAGCGTGAGTCTCTCTTTCGCTCGCTTCTCCGCGCCACAAGACTGACGAACCGCGTGCGCGCTAGGCTTCTACCTGATCATGAACGTCGCGGTGGGCGGGACGACGGGTGGTTCCCCGACGGGCCGGAGAAGCCGTGGCTCGATGGGTCGGGCAGTGCGTCTTTTCTTTTCCCTCCTCTGCACCCTCGGTAGCAATGCTGATTGTAACGCGCGTCTAGCCGCCCCGCTCGACTTTTTGCGCGCGAAGAACCAGTGGTACAACACGTGGCCGCAGGACGAGTTCCATCGCGCGATGGTTGTGTGCGTCTCCCTTCCCTTCGTTCTTTGGAGAGAAAAGCTGATGGTTGTACGATCTAGCGACTCGGTGAAGATGTGGGAGAAGTGCTGAGCCCGCCCGGCCTTCATTCCTTCCGACGGTGCTGCCAACTACAATGCACAGCGACAATGTACACGACTTGCAAAACGGCGACGCCATCACGGACTCGACCAGCCTAACCTAACGCTCATTCACCCATGCCATTCCCTCGCTAACCGCCCCTATCGTACATTCTTCCTTTGCGCACTACTCAGCTATCCATACGTACATACATACTCTTTCTTGGTCTTCCTGCGCTTGGGCTTTCTTTTCTTTTCTTTACTCCCCACACCTCGATAATTATCTCACTCTCATTTCATCCGTTCTTGGTCACCCGCACCGCACGCACACGCATGATCTTGTTCTGGTTCGCACATATCAAACCACACTGTTATTTTATTTTGTCGAGGGAGGATGGCATGGCATGGAGCGGCGGGAGGATAGCGACGTATACATAGACGATGGCTCGCCTCGGTACATGGGCTGCACCGAACAGTAAATAAATATAATATTATAGAGATTGTACCTTCCTTCGGTGGCAGGCAGACTGCGGCCGCGGATGGATGGATGGAGTGTATGATAGCTGTTTTCGGCGCAGGGGTGTGAGATTCAGCGCAAGCGGCAAGGGGTGTTTGTTGGATAGATACTGGATAGCCATGGAGAAGTGGAAGAGAACCTGGAGATGGAGATGATGGAGAGGTGGAATGATGCGAGGCCCTGGGGCAGGGGCGGGCGGATAGATACGATGGGCTTTGGACGGGTGAATGTTGGACAGCGCAAGCGGTACCTGGGTGCTTCGCTGCCAGATGGACGTCAGCGCGCCGGGGAGATTCGTTCGCGACGGACGTCGAACACCGTTCGTCAGTATGTATGTAGCTGTATGAGGCTGAGCCTGTTCGTCGATGTCGATCATGGTGGGTGTCAGTCAAGTCAGGTCGCCGTCTCGACCGCGCCGAGGATGAAGGACCGCGACGCGCGGATCCGGTTTCAGATAAGTTAGTTTTCTTTCCAAAACACAAGTGTTACTTTGACCAAAACCGAACGACAAGCGCCACTGCCGAAGAGCCAGCTGGGGGCTGACTGGGTAAATCCAGAAACAGATCCTCTTTTGAGTATCGATTCCTTGGCGACATGACGCCAGCGATGTAGGCAGTTCCAAAATTGCAGATAAATATCATCATCGCAAAGCACTACCGTCCAGGTAAAGTGCCATTCTTCAGATACCCGACGCGCCGCAAACTCGATAGATCATAAGAGCTGGGAGAGTTTCCCATGTTCAATATGGAAGTTGGAGGTTTCACATCCTGCC